CTACTTTTCAACAAATTGTGTTTAACAGTTACGTTATAGTTTCTATACGTATTTATACATACACAAACATACATAAAAAATATTATTTAATTAATTGCAATAAAGTGAATAATAATATGATTATATTTAATAGCAGTAAAATAGAGTTAATATACTTTAAATCATATTTTTATGATTATGAAATAATTGTAAAATAACTGAGAGACCTCGATTTACAAATATATTATGCTATATATTAATTGTATTATTTATATTTTACCATCTCGAAGAAAACTACATTTATTTAACTTGATACATTATTAAAAGTTACATAGAAAATGTATTAAATACTGTTAATTTTAGCTCTTTTAGTAGTTCCCCATGTAAAAAAAATATTGTAACTATAGTAAGTTTTAGCATTTTTATGGCATCTTTTTGTGTATAATCCTTAAAGGAAAAAATTGGACTGTGCAAAAATTATAAGCTTCATCATATAGTAATTCATTGCAAGTGCTTCAGACCTCTTAGGATTATGCTTAACGACTTAAATGTATAACATGTTTATAGCACTGACCAATAAGCTTGAGTTTAACATTTTTATGAGTACTGACATAGAAATAATGTAAGAGTCATTCACTGTTATTATATCATTGAGAAATGGTAAAAAGTAAATAAGTATTGAAAAATAAATTAATATATTTTTATGTTGATATAAACGTAAAATATATTATTCATGAATTAAAATTTTACTGAAATCATGTCTGGTATCATATGTCTGCTAATATAAATTTATAGATTTAATGGAAGTATCATAGAAAATAACTTGAAGTATTGCATTCACCATATTTTCTCTATATAATCAACAGAATTTCTATTGGAAAAGAAACTATTGAACCAATTTTTAAGATTAAAATCAAAACTATAAATATCTTGAAAATGTATTTGATTAGATCATTATTATTAGTTTCACACAATATTTTATTTAATTGAGATAAAAACTTTTACTCAAAAATCTTAGAACGTATATCTACACGCACGTTTCTAAACTATAATCACTAAGAGTTACAATATATTTTTTCTATTGTTTGTACTTTTCTCATTGTTTTCTATGCATATAATATTACCATAAACACTTCAAAGTATAATAAAAATGTAATTTAGTAAATATATCAATTAAATGAACATCTATTTTTGAGTTCAAAACACCCACAGCCAGAGACGGATTTAAGGCACTGTGAACTATGCGGTCGCAAAGAGCTGCACATTTTTTATACGTACCTACAAAAATTGTATTTAATATTTATTTGGTTCTCATATAGAAAAATACTTAATTTTTTTCTTGAATTTTTATACTTCAAATTTTTGACAGATGGATTTTGATTTTTTTTTCATTTATTTGCTTATAACAAAGTAATATTTATGTTTAAATCAAAACGTTTTTAATAAATTTTAGTTTTATGTAAAAATAATTATATAATATATAGAAAAGTTCATAATGTAAGGAAATTTTATTGTATGGAAGTAATTTTTTTAGGATAAGAGCAGCAAATTTATACTTGGCATAGCGTGGCGGGAAATTATTTAATTCGTCTCTGCCCACAACTTAATATTGGCATAGACGAAGAAAGTATCTCTTGTTTTTATTTCTGCTTCGTGTTTTTTGTATTCTTATAATAGATGGTCTTGTAATATTAGTACTTAATGTTTTAATCAAGTTGAGAACGTTGAAAACATCGATTAACGTTATCAAACAATTTCATGGGCCACTGCAGCTATTGCAGTACTAATAGTGTTAATGCTTCGTGCGATAAAACATCTTTTGAACGGTTACCAAAAAAAAATTATTATTTTTCAAGTGAATGACTTGAAAACCTATTTGATTTCCCTCGACAAAAAAAAAAACAGAACGATAAATTATGTACTTCAATTTATAGAGAGTTGTTCTCGAGTACATAGAAATTGATTAGAAAAGTACTCAAGTCACTTGGGATATTTCAAGTATATTGAGGTATTGAAACATATTGGAAAGTTATATTGACCACAATGTAAAAATATCCTAATACTCTGCTCTATCTACACTGTTTGAAAAAAAATACGAATATATACACATGAACGAAACAACATAAAAATAAAACAAATAAAATTGTAAATTTCACAAATATTTGTCTACATAACTGTTATTAGGTTTTTCCACATTTTTTTATTATTACTTTGTATTTATTATGCGACAACATAAAATACCTAAAAATCTTAACTTGTCAACATACTCATTGCTCCGTGCCACCTACCACAATTGCCTGTATAATTTTGTTATGAAAACGTATTAATTAGAACAGTTCTTGGAATATAATCTGAATTATTCTTGTTAATTTTTATAGATGTTGACCTTGAACGATGTGGTTTAGGAGAGCTGTCAAGGTTGAATTTTAGAACCCTGCAGTATCAATCGTAACTACCAGAGTGATCAAAACATGTTTTTATCGAAAACTCTCATTTTACCTAGTAATAATGTTGCAGGTCACATTGACAGTCTATACTCCGTCCAACCACTATTTCATAACACAAGTTATAGGCAAATTAAAATAATAATAATAATAATAAAAATAATCAATACACTGTTGCAACGTCTTCTCGAAAGCCCTCGGGGTCCCATCATATTTAATTTGTTTTACCTTTTCGTTAAACTTTTATGATATATGTACTTATAATTATTAATAAAATAACGTAACGTAATTAATGCCATAATTTAAATATAACTGATAATTTATAAGATTTTTTTTCTCTTTGAATTCCGCTATATAGTTTTGAAAGATAATAAATAGCTATAGTGGAAAAACGCCGTGATAAGACGCTAATATAATTTTTTTTAATTTTTTTCATCGATTCATTCGTAAACTGCATAATATCATATTCATAAAAGATTAAATCTTCTGTTAAATCTAGATTAAAAAACAAACAAACTAAATTCTTTCATTTACTATTAGTGTTCATAATAATATAATATATAATAAAATCCTTGTCTCTCGTCAAATTTCAATATTTTGCCAAGATAAATAATTTACAATATTATTTTAATCAGATTTCGTCTTGAAGTAGTTATTATTATTAATTATTTTTTTATTGCCTATTATCTATTGAATTTTTAAATTAGCTGATTGACAAATGAAAACTCGTATTTATTTACGTATTTTACTTTTTATAATGTTGAAAAACCATGAGTGGCGGGCTACATATTATTTATGTATTTCGCCAAAAATCGGAAACGAAAATAGTTTTCTCTGAAAATGATAGTCATCTTCGATAGTAGAGAATAAAAACAAAAACCGTATAATAATACGGTGGTACATTATAATAGTATCATAATATTTTGACGGCTATTGAAGGTTATAAACACATCGGACGGGCCAAATGCGTCGTCTACACCGTACGAATAGTATAATAGCCACGCGTATTCAAACTGTGGCTCAAAACCAGTACATGACCGTACGAAAATATAAAATAACCAAACGCAATAGCTATATCTATATAATAATCACAGTGTAGTACCGCAAAACATATATATTCACATTTCACGTGTATGTACTATGCCAGTCATTGTGATTTGTGATACACACAAACATTAGATCTAGTATAAAAGTAATACAGTTCTAGAAACCTACATATTATTGTTAAGTATAGAAGGTATAATATTACGAACATATGGAATAATAATAATAATAATAATAATAATAATAATAATAATGATAATAAAAAAACGTCGTACTTGGGTTTAGTTATGTACGTGTAACATATACGCTTACAACCGAGTTACAAACTAAAATATATTATAATTGGATCGGATGCAGATCAGTCGAAATTTACCGGAAAAATAACACAGTGAAGACAACCTATAATATTATGTGCATCGGTCTATAGCAGGTACCCACCTATAAACGCTCATGTACTGCAATCGCGGAGGCAGCATAGGTTGGTATACACTATCGGAACTATTAAAATAAAATACGATTATATTGCTGTTTGCGACGAAATGAAAAAATATCAATCGATGTATATAGAAACCTACTGCTGTAACAACGTTCCGTTGAATTTATTATACCTATCCGTGTTTATTCATTTCCCATTCCGTAATGAAATATGATATATAAATACTCACAACGCAAATCTACATCTACACATAATATAAGTGTCGTATATATATATATATATATCATATGTTGTAACATTATATTTTCAATCAAAAGATTGCGAGTATTTCAATTATGATGACAGTTTTTTGCTTATAATAATATGTACATATAATAACAAAACGATATTCTTTTGTAAAAAAGAAATAAATATGTTATTAGAGTTATTTTTTAGAGTATAATATAATGAACCGATCAATTTGTGTAGTACGTAGGTAGGTATATACAGTTTTTACGTTGTTGACATTTCAAAATAAATAATACAAATATAAAACTGAGAACGTAAACGATATTATTTCTTTAATTTAAATGTCTATACGCTGTTATTATAGATAATAATTATTGTGGTACACAACATGTTTGATTGCACGAAGACCAGGGTTAAGGAGTTTGTACATTACTAGGAACTCAAGATTTCAAAATATGTTGATCTATAATAATTATTGCACAAATTAATTAAATATTGCAATAATTGTTATATGTATGTAATATAACTCTTATAGGGTTAAGTATAGGTTAGTGATGTCTATCTCGTTTTTCGTATTATCGGTTTTCACAATTTCCGATATTACAAAAGTATACAAAAAAGTAATATTTGAACAAAAATACTATTGAAAAAACACAAACTATCAATTTACCACCTGGTAAAACGTACTATACATAGTAGTATTTTTATACATACCTACTATATAATATATTAATAGTTGTTTGTTTATACCTTTGACCGCTGCGTACTTGACATATTCTTTCATCATTAAATTTATTTTTATTTTTTTTTTAAGAACATTAGCAATATATATTTTTTGTAACTAACATTTTATATAATTTTATTTATAGGTTTCATTCAAAAGCCGATCAAACGAATCACATTGAACAATTAAGGTAATATTAATTTTAAAATATGCATTTATATTATTTATTGAACCAATCAAGTATTTTACCATATTTAACCTTTTGTTATTATTCTAATAAGTTTTTTCTAAAATAAACAAATACACACGAATTAATATCTCTAAATTATATCTACCTATATATAGTTCCAACAATTTCCAATTTTTGACCGATAAAAAACCATGTGTAAAATATTAAGAATACCCAAAAATTCGGTCATACGCTTAATACAAATTAAATACAAAATTGCAACACTATAAGTCCAATAACTTCCTCATCCTTACTTAAATTTCCAATGTAATATAAATTTCAACATAAAACATCTAATATTTTACGATATCAGACCATACTTTTAATTTCTACTGGATACCGATTACCAAAGTATAGATAGTATACGCATAGTATTTCTTTTATATAAATATAACCATATTGATTTCAAAAAATAATCCAAACGTGGTATTGTCTAATTTCCGGAAAACAATATGTACGTAGTACGTATAAATGTGCAACGGGATTGTATGTGTAAAAATATACGAACGGGAAAAGGTCCTAAGGCCTTTTTATTTTTTATATGGTTAGAGCATGAATGATCCGATTGCAATAATAGTCACGCTCGGCGAACCCCGAAGAATCGTTTCGGAAGTGGATGACGGTTTCGCCTGTGTGACACGCCTCTTAAACGGTTAGCGTGCAAGCCAGCGCCCTGCTTTTATGATAGTTTTTTTATGTAACGGTAGTGGCATAATAAAAGAGATTAGAAGAACGTGACCAGTGTATGTAATAATAAGACAGTACTTCAAAATAGTAATAATAATAATTACAATTTAGTGAAATAAGATAGTTGTGCTGTAGTACTGTAGTGAATCAACACCGCATAAATATTACTAATTATTAAAGTGATTCAATTTATACATACGAAAACAACGTAAATTTAATTGTCAAATAAAAGTAATAATTAACCAACTTTAAATATAAATTTACTAAATGTAGATTAATAAATGTTTTAATAAATGTATATTTTTACTACTGTTGTGATTTTACAAAGAAACAAATTAAATTTCTCAAACATCGTAGTCATTGTTGCCTTTTTTTTGTAAATTTTCTTTTTTGTTTATTTAATATATTACATGGCTATATTATCTATATATTATATTATATGCCTAGTATGATACAATATAGTCGTGTCCTATCGGCTACCATTTATATATAATATATATTGATTTTTTTTTTACAATTGTTCGTTATGATAATGACACTATATCCACGACTCTATCACCACTGCCATGATATTAGTTTTAGAAAAATACAATTTTACAATAAACGGTCCACCGTACAACGTACTTTTATTATAGATTAGAAGGTTAAGTAAAAACGATTGATGTACTTCATAATAACCCATCTAGTATTTTATTTAACCACTGTAATTTTTAACAACTATAAATAAATATGAAATATATAAATAATTTTTTTTTTTTTAACATTTATTTGAATATATACAATCTGTAATAGTAGTTACAATAAGCATATGAGCTGAAAAGTACAGTTGGCAGTGAAATAGTGAGGGGAGTAGCTACCCAGCATGTAAATAAAATAAATAAATTATTAATTATATTATTGTATAAGATTTTTTCTTAGTTTTTAATTTTCTCTATTTTGAACTTCTCAGTTATCGTTTAAAAACTTAGTTTTAAAATTATTAAACAATAAACATTTGATGTGTTGCTTAACTCTTGATTAGTGACCCATCTGAAAATCAACTACCTTAGTAACGGCTTAATACCAATGCGGCAATGCCACTCAATGCAATATTCGCCAATTATTATAGTTATGTTTCGTCTATAAAAATCCGATTAATGATTGATTGCGTGTAAAAATTAGAGAATAATCATTTTTGTAAAAGAATATCCTGTTTTTTTAAACAAACATTTTACAATTTTTTTTTCAATTATGTGAATTAAGTATTAATATAATAAGAATTATATGAAAATTATAAAAAATTGAATTTTAAATTAAAAAATTTATTTTCATATCTTCTTTGACATTTGACAAAAAAAATAATTTAAATTAACTGAAGATTATTTTTATATGAATGATTTATTTACTTAGCGCTTTATTGGATTTTGTCCTAATTCTGTAGAACTGTAACACTGAAGTTTTGATACCTATTTAATTTAATCATTATACTTATAAAAATGTTAGTTTTTAAATTAAATAAATAAATAAGACATATTTTATCATAATTAACTATTTATATAATATGTATTGTCTATTTTAATAATAACTTTACTCTTTTAACGTGTTTATAAACTTAAGAGTCACGTAGTATTTATTTTTTCAATTAAGTATTTTAATATTTCCCTATATGTTCTTAATAATATTAATACAAACTCAAAATAAAAATCTCCTACTAACAAAATTAAAAAACTGTTATAAACTGAAGATTAAGTATCTTATAAACTATCAAATATCTTGATGAGTCGGAATTGTTCTGATCGTGACAATATTGGTGGTGACCTTCGCGAGTTCTCGTTTTTAATGTTTCTGTACATACATCTCTACTGTTTCTCATATATCAGTTATAGAACATACAATAGTCAATAACTATGAGTCATATCTGTCTGTGAAACTGTGAAAGTACTGGGGAAAATATTAAAATTATTACAAAAACCCAATGGATCAGATGTATGTGTAATCAAATGAACGGAATGTATATAAACGTGAGATTAGTCGAAGTTAATATCTAAAATATTATGATTGTGTAAAACTATTAATGTTCCATACATTCCAAGTATATTATATTTCAGCCATTTATCAAAAATATTATAGGTATGTATCTACATTACATTTTTTTCAATTTCTAAAATTTGTTCTACTTAATTTTATATTTTATATTCAACAATATAATCAAAACATAGTATGAAGACAGTAAATTTTAAATAAATACTAAACAAGCATTGTATTTTAAACAATAATTGGCAAAAACATAATCCCCTGAACTAAAATAATTTAAATTGAAAAAAAACAATAGCTTACATGGTAATGTATTTTACAGGCCTTTCTAAAAAGAAAAAGAAAACTACATAAGTACTTAAATATTTTGTGAAGTTACCAATTGTTTATGTTAAATCTTAGGTATATTAAAATGTGTCATATTTGTCGTGCAATAATGTACAGGTATAGAATTTTATAAGTTTTTAATTGAATTAGCAAAATGTCTACGGATCATCAAACATCTTGCTATTCGTACGTGTTCAACCATCCATTTTCTAGGTCAAAAATCATATTATACTTAATTTTTTTCTTCAATAACTGATCTAATGATTTCCTGAGTCCTTTTGTCAATTAATTAATGCTTACGTTAAACACCAATACGCCACAGATTCACACGTGTGTGTGAGACTATGGTATTTTATTTTATTTATTTAGGCTAATCAGAGCATGATGTGTATGGAGTTTAGCGTGTGGTTACCTACGTATGCATTCAGTATACAAGTTTGCACAAGTCGAAGAATAGGCGATTGCATTTTATATGATAGCCGTTGGCATTACCTACTTCGCACAAGATTTGTTTAGGACTTCAGCCGCCGCCTAGTTGGTTACTGTATTCGTATACACCTATAGGCTATAATACAAGCTGACACTCCACATTTAAAGCTTAATCGGCAAAAATGTATAAATATTGAACATACAATCAGAATGAAAAAAAAATTATATGTTTATAAACGTACAGTAAATAATAAAACTGGTTCGTACAATGAAGAGAGAAAGTAGACCTGGAGTTCTCTATAATAATGAGAGTATACGTATACCAGAAAAGAGAATAGACTACGAGATTGAGTTTTTGCGATGGGTTTGTTGGGAATAGAAAGAAAAGCAATGCAAGTTAAATCACGACAAGTAATTAAAGAAAGTGAAGACGGGAACAAATTATGGCATTTTAGGCAACAACTTATAAGTCCATATGGACCGACTTTCGTTGCAGTGGAGGAAAACTCTCGCGGGAATACGACATACAACGCTGATTCAAAAACAATATAGAATGTTAAAATTTAATGGACCCGTGTATATAAATTAATTATTAGAAAAAAAAGGTAAAATATTTAGGTAGATCTTAAAACTTAAGTTCATAAAATAAGATAAAATAAACTTAAGTATTATTTTATGTTAATTCAGTACTTCTTTTTTCATTGAAAAATTAAATTTATTGACTTTGAAAAAAAAATTATTTAAAAATTGATGTATGACATTCATCTCAAAAAACATGTGCTATTAACAAATATAATTATGTTATCCTAGCCTAAAAAATGTTAAAATGCATTGTTTAGTTGTAAGTAAGTAAATAAAAACTCAAAATTATTATATGATCAACCAACCATACACTTCAGCATCTGTAACCATAAATTATTATTCATTATTCATATAACTATAAAAAGTATATTTTAATTTTTATCTTTTTACTTAAGATAATTATTAATTGTTCATTATTTTTTTTATGCATACAGTATATACAATTATCTAAGCATTTTAAGAGATCCAAATATCTGATAATCGTATATAATCAGTGAAAATGATTTTCTTAAAAAGCTTCAGTCATGGTATTCATAATATTATACTATCCAATATTGTTCATTATGAGCAAGGTGCACGCTTTATTTAATAAGAAATTACTTTGAATATTCCATGAACCAAATCGGACCATGCTCTCGCTTCTGCTGTAAGAACTTTGCCATTCTAAAACGTGAATATAATTTAAATTATAATATTATAACGTACACACATGTCGGAAATTATATACTTAAATAACACTGTTCGCACCGTATTCATTCTTATACGTATATTATACAATATATGATTATTTACGTTCAGGATGCTTTCGTATAAATCGGTTACCTTTGATGGACGCGTGGTGCGAAATTGCCAGTTCTATGCCACGTTAATTACAGAGAAAGTGCCGCACAATATGTAGAATGTAAATGTTAAATAATAATAAT